AAATAATTCGATTACTACATTCAGAGTGGTTTTGAATAGCTAATTAGATAAGAATTCTTAGTATTCTAACCAGATTTTGACAAAATTATTTTTTTATTCTGTTATAACTCAAAAACGAATATCCACAAAATATTGAAATTTTCACTGAGTACTTTTATTATTATTTTATTTATATTGTATAGTTTCAAAAATATTCTTACTTTAAAAACTATTTAATGGCAATTGAAATTTTAGAATTTTTTTTTTATTAATGTCTTAAAAATTATCAAAAATGTATATACACAACATTTTTTTATAGGCATTTAAATTTAAAATTTTGACAAAATTCGTGAAAATCTTAAAAATTACAAGTTTTTGTAACAACAAAACATAAAAATGTCCTGTTTATACCTAAGATTTGAAAATTGAAAACAAAGTTCTTCATTATTTTTTCAATCTTTTTCGACCAAAATAAATTCAATGATTATTTTTATTGACATTTTGTTTCGATTTGGACGAAATCATTTATTTGAATAATAAATATATATTAATTATTACAAAATAATTAAAAAAATATATTTGTGGGAGTTTAAACTGTTATGTATTTTGAATTATTATGAATTTTAACACACGTGGCACACGTTATAACGTTTTTAATTTACTTTTAAATATTATTTATTTATAGATACTTTGAATGTATTTTTAGTATTTTACGATATTTACAAAAAGATGTAATTAAATTTCATATCATAAAAACTGATATAATACTGTATAAATATATATTAAATACTAATAACATAATAAGTGCAATATTTTTGGAGAAAAAAGTTGACCAACCTTTTAAAACACTAAAAGTAAAATAATTAACTTTAATAACTACATCAAAAAACATATTACTAAGTGATATATAGGCTGATGACCGTTTTCGCTCAGAATCGTTTTTCGTATACAATGATATATCATTGAATTCACTTAAAATGGTAACCACTCGACATCTAATGTACAGCAAAGCGTTACCCACTTCCTTAACTTTTTTAGATTTAATTTATCAGTTCATTTTTTTTTTTTTTTTTGAAAAAATAATAGTTAAATAAATATATTATGTTTGACACTTGTGCATATTTGTTATATTCATGTACCTTAATGTTTAGATCATTATTTTATAACAATATTTAAAAAAAATAAAAATAAAATTGGATTTAAAATTATAATAAGATAAATACAGTAAAAATCATTTACTTAAAAACAGAGTATTTCAATCTCAATTGTAATAATAACCAAATTAATATTGGCATCATCAGACATTACAGTAGGTAATGTCCGTAATTTATCCGTCTATGTTGAAGTACTATTTTCATTGGTCATTGTGGCATCTATTGAGTGACTGATTGTTGACCTGTAACACGTACCACCAATAATTAATGTTAAACTTTGTTACGGGTAGTTTTCATAGAATAGATCATTCTAATAATATAAAAAGCGAAATTAGAATAACAAATCTAATGGTGTTAAAAAACATTTTTCTTTCTATATACAGTGGAACCTCGATTACTCGAACTTCTATAAGTCGAATTTTCGATAACTCGAATTTTTTTTTCGCCCCCAACCGATTTGAGTTATCGAGGTTCCACTGTATTTTAAATTATATTATATTGTTACCAGAACATTGTATCATTGCTAAAATACTAAATATCGGTAGATAAATAATTTTCTGCTAATAATAATTTTGAACTTCAATTGCATTATTATTAATACACCTAGACATTATAAGCATTGATGTATTATACTATTAAATAACTCAACTGAGAAAACTATTGAAAACAAATTTTCCTATGGGTTATGACTGACTTATGAGCTTTAGATAACATATACATTTAATGGAAAATCATACAATAATTACTAAAAAGAACATTTTAAAAGAAGTATCTTTAAAATTCCAGTAGAAGAAATAAATTTATATATTTTTAACATGACGTGATTACTATATTGTATTCGCTATCAATTTACAGTAGTTGTTATCACGTATCACATTTTTTACACAATATATTACAATATAAAACCTACTCACCCGTTTAATATAATATACAACCGTATACTATTTACTACTTGGTTAAAGTCATTATTTATTGACGAATTTTATTAAAATAATCTTAATTAAATCATTAACTATAGAACATTTTACTATTTCAGTAACATTAGTAACGAATAAACGACATTCAGACATCAGAGGTGATAGAACGTAATTTTAGTTAAGTTACTAAATTATAATTTGAAACTATAAATAAGAAATCTCAAAAGTTCATTAAACAAATAGATGAAAGACTTAGTGTTTTAAATTTCCCTGATGAAATTGTTATAAGTGATACATTTATAATTTCGAAAATTGGTAAAAAATTCATAATTCAATAAACAATGTTCATACGAAGTTTAATCGAATATCGACGATTTTCAATTAAGTAACAAGCGACGACTGCGAGCTATCTTAACGTGTACCTACCAAAAGTCGTTTATATTTTATTGTATGCATGTAATATTTTGATTTTTATAAGACTAACAATCTTAAAAATGAACTGTGTACCTATGCCGTATGTGTTGTATCTTTCTTAAAAACATACGGTATAGCAGTATTTGTGTTCATCACAATCGTACACTTAGGTACTAATTAATTTTAATGTTATCGATAAGTTAAAGGTAAAAACATTAACTGTACAAAAGTGTTAGATTTTTTTCTATGTTTTGATCTTTAAATAGGTATAAGAATTATTAATTTGTTATGTTTTGCATAGTCATATCTTAGGTACAAAAATTAAAATATCGAGAAAAAAATTGACTTATTATGCATAGATAATTCTTAACTGTAATCTGTAATTTTGATAATAACCAATAGCTGGTCATTGGTTAATTTACTTTAATATTAAAACTAACAGCACAATAACACACAATTGATTCTAATCAACCCGAATTTGCTATGCTGTACAATTGTAAGGCTGATACAACACAAGCATAGGTAGGAAAGAGAGAACGATATTTTCGTTTGTATAAGAAATATTTCCCATTCAGTTGGTAATTCCAAAAAGACGCTAACTATTATATCGACTACATCACTGCGTCTTGAAGATCAAACGTATCTTAGCCGACTATTGCGATCCCTACTCGTAAAAAATGTAGATTCATTATTTATTATTTTACATACAATATGCAGCAGAGAGAGCCATTTTTTATACAGTTTTTAATTCATTTAAATTAACTTTACTTTCGAATAATATTACTAATATTTACTCATAGATTATAGATATGAATGTAGATATAAACAAAATATCAACATCATCTTATGAGTTATGACAACCAGTTATACTTGCCGTTGATTTTAAACATACAGAAAGAACATTTTAGATCGATGGAAATACTATATGCTTCATGCTAGAAACCTTTCAAGAACGTATTATACAATTAATAACAAAATATTGTAATATTATTTCTCTTTCGCATGTTTTAAAATCTTAAGTTGGACGATACCCGCCATAATTCTCAAAGTCTGCTTCATACCTATTATTTAATAACTATTTTATATAGACTAAACGTAGACAGATGAATTTGGAGACAATATTATTAGAAAAAGATAGCATTTAACTCTGTCAATGTATCTCGTTAATAGTGAGAAAGAAATGTCTTTCTGTCGAAAGAGATTAAAAAAAATAAACCAGCAAAGATAACATTTTTATTTTTTAGGAAAAGTTAGCATACGCTTATTTCTTTCTAACAATATGGTCACGAGGCATTTTATGACAGATTATAAGGAACGCGCAGTCCATTTATTAATATACCTAGTTAATTGATCCACAGGCATAGATATTATAAATAGGTATGTTATTATTTGTGGACTGAACGATGTCTATTGACTAAGCAATTGGGTCGTTTGTAATTTTATATATTTTGTCCATCAATAATCAGTTATCCGTATTGTCTCACCTCTCACAGTCTCATAGTCTCACGCTCTCACCAATTTCAATATTTATATCGATGAAATCATAGGTGTGGGTATTAACTAGTTGAAAAATGTATTTTCTAATCAATTTATGAACTTAAAGAGTTTCATTAACAGTTGAAATAACTTAGCTTTTTGCAGTTGATATTAGACATTTTTTTAATAAAATTATAAATTATAAATTTTATTGTTTTAATGATTTATGACCTTCAATCGCTAAGTTATATATAAAAAAAATAAATATTTGTTAAATTATTAATTTGAGATGAGTATAGTTTAAATTATAAATAATATAATATCATGTAACGTAAAAGAGTATTTACATTTTACGCTGTACAATGTACATTATAATAAAAGTTCGATAAAATTGTTTTTTATAATTTAGTAAATTAGAAAGACATAGTCATTTGTTATGTAATTTACATACTAATTTAAAAAATAGTAGATTAACTTTTTTTAAACAGAGTTAAGTAAATATTTTTTCTATATTAAATTTTAACTTATTGAATTAAATTTATAATTTGTTAACGGTTAACTCCTAACTTATCAATCTTGTGCTCTTTTAACTTAACTTCAGTTAAATATTTCATTAACTTGCCTACCTTTGGATGATATAATAAATGACATATAACGACGAGCATTACGTGAACTACAGCGAGTTATAATATTCTTATTTTAAAGAGTATTGATCTGTAGCCGTAGTCTAAGTAACGAGTGCAACGACCTGCGACCGCAGAACAGTAGGAGTGGCTTATCGTATACACTTGCTCGCTGTCAAAATAATGAAGAGCGCATTCTCTCGGTTGTCGTATACGTTTTTTATTTTAACGATTTTCTTTCGGCGTAGCGTCCTGTTGTATTATCTCTGACGCCAGTTATTTGATTAGATTTTGTTCGTCTAATAAGTGTTCTTAACTCTTAACAAGTTGGTATAATTTTCTACCAAAGAACTCTTATAAATTATTTTTAATACACATTCCGTTGCTAAATTTCGTGTATTTTTTATTTAATCAATATCTCGATTTGTTGTTTATTATTCATTATCTGAGAAATACATTTTTGGTTATTATACTAACTTGTGAATAACAGAAAACGGTGAAGAAAAATGTCTTCTATAAACATTGATGTCAGACGACCATTAAGCTCATACACGGCTGTCTGCCGAGTTTGCATGAAAGAAAACACTAATGACAATTCAAATAAATTTCATGATATTTATATTGATAAAATCAACTCTGTCGATATACACGAACTTTTGGTTACAATGTTAAAAATCGTCGTGAGTGAATACAACATGAAAACATGCAAATAACTTATATTTCTGTTATTAAATTTTTTAATTATTTTTAGATTGACCCAGAGGACTTGAGGCCGAAATTAATTTGCGGAGAATGTTATAACAAAATCACTGAATGGCATAATATGATATTTCAAGCACAACTTAGCCAGTTTTGTGTTGACCAAATTTTTTCTAGAAAAAAAGTAAGAATTTCATATTATTTTTTTACTCATGCATATTGATTATAAGACCTTATAAAACTTACATACCTACTATAGATTTATTAGATTAAAACTAGGTACTAGATATTTATAAAATATTTATGATTTATGTGTAAACCAGAGACCAATAATTAAGTATTAGAGTTGCCCTTAGGCAATATGTATATATATTTGGTACCACATATTAAGGAACCATTAAAACAATACATATATTGACACAATAAACCATGAAACATTGATTAATATTTTATTATATTTTATAACAATTAGGGAAAGTCTAAGCTGGTCCTCTAGTTATCTGGGTAAAAGGGCACAGTTAGCTTAAATATATAATGTTGTAAGTAGAAAAAAAAAATTTATTCTGGTGTTCCAGTTGTCCCACAGAGCAGTGTGTTGGGACTAATTTTGTTTATTTTATACATGAATACTATTTGTGATCTAAATACAGGTGGATTAGTGGTTATGTATGTTGATGAAACTTGCCTACTTTTTTCAGACAAATCTTGGGAAATTCTAAAAAAAAAAACTACTGTAGGCCTAAATAATATTTCATGAGTTAAAAAACCAACCTTAACTATAAAAAAAAAAAACCAATCTTATTATTTTTTCTATCAACAACACCCTAATTCTCGTTAATAATATAGTCGTACACATATGTAGTAATATTAACTCTAATACTTGTAAAAGGCAGGAAATAATTAGGATAATATCTTGGTGTCATTATTGATTTGAATTTGAGATGGAATATATGTATTGAAAATACAGTAATAAGCCTGACATCAGAAATTTTTAAATGTTATAAATTGAATAAAATACTATCTATAAAAGTCATGTGTATTGTATATGAAACTCTGTATTAGTCTACTTTGTAACATGGCTTAATAATGTGGAAAGAATGTATAACGCTACTTGGTTAAGTGCTACCTATTCAGTTAATTTTAATACTTAGCAACTCTCCTAAATTTAAATAAGCAATAATCCAAAAACTGTATTAGGTATATTGAAACACTGCAGTACTTTCAAACACTATTTAATTTTATTAAAAATAAAACTATTATAGTTTTATAAAAATTATTGTTATTTTTTTTTTTTTCTATTGACTATTTTCTGTTATTCTAGGTTCTTTTGGTAAGTAACTGATAATTAGTAGGTGCCTACACATTACCTAATTTAACTAGATGTGAATATTAATATTTTAATTGTCTAATCACAGAAAACAAAATTGTAACACCATAAATGAGGTAGAAAATGTATTTAATTTTAATTAATTAAGAGACAATTTTTGTAATTATATTAGTTACCTTTTACTCCTTTAGGTAGGCAGGGCCGGACTGGTGTAACAAGTTACCAAGTTTTATTCGATGGGCCGCTCAAAATTTAGGCCAGTAACGAATGTTTAGTCGTAATTTTTTATTTTATAATAAGATAAATCAGTATAAACATTAGTAGAAAATATAATTGATAATTGAATCAAATTATAAAACTGTATGGTAGCTATAACTGTAACCAAACATTGTAAATTCTAAAATACAGTAGACTGATACCTTATCAATCCAATACTAAAAGGAGGTATATAAAATAATAGTGAATTGATTGAATTTATTTGAAATATTCAATATTACCATTGAGTATTCCATAAGTCCTTACAACTAAAACTGAACATAAACATATGAAATAGTTGAATTAGATACAAAAATAAAATAATAAATATATTTAATATTTATAAAAAAAAATTAATAATAAAATATTTCAAAAAATGTGAACTATTGTTTGAATTGTTCTAACTTATAAGGTTAAAAAAAAATTTACATTTTCATTGAATGATGATAAATGGCATAGGTAATGAGCATAACAACAATGGTACAAATATTATTTTTTACCATGGTATTTATAATTATTATAATTTTGCGTTTACTACATTATTCTAAAATTAAATTTATTGATACAATATCTGATGTATGATATTAAATTTTTTTAATTAATTATATAAGTTTTTTTAAGATATTGTTTTAAATTATAACAATGAGAAAATTAATGAAGTCCCTTGAAATTTACATTTTGAAAATAGAAATTATATGGATTCTTGAAAATGTGAAAAACTTAGGTGTTTTAATAAAATTCATCATAAAAAATTATTAATGTTTTAATAATAAAATAAAATATTTTAAATTATTCAACATGAAAGCATATTTTTGTATATTTTGAGTTCAAGCTTAAAGTAAATATTAGAATATCTTTGTATTTACTCTAGTATAGTAATAGTAAGTTTAATTCGTTGCTATCAATTCTTAATAAGTAATTAGTCACTATGGCAATAAATATTGTAAATGTAATATTCTAAAAAGTATATATATCTATATATAAGATTTAAGTATATATCTTTAATTTTTATTATTTTAAGATTTCTAAAATATAATTAAATGATCAATAATTCTCATTATTTTATCAGTTAGCAAGTTGTGTTTTTATGATATATTATTATAATGAATGTAATTCTTTTAAATAATTTTTTATATTTAATTTAACATTATATAACATAATAAGTTTTAAAATATTTAAAAATAAAACAGTTTAATAATTAAAAATGATACTCATTAATAATACTTAAAAGTTATTTTAATTATTATTACCTATATTATATTATTGTTAAGTTATGTTTTCAATTTTATTGAAACATGTGGTTTGCTTAAGCTAGAATTAGAGTATGTTGAAATTGTATATGTAAAAAATTTTAATTAGTTTATTTTATACTGCTATTGATTTTCATATTTTTATATAAAATACTGTTAATTTAGAGGATACTACTCTAGAATTTTTTGTCTAGGTTTTTCAAGTGTATAACATATTTTCATTAAAAATAAAAACACATTTTGTGATGTTTTTGTTTTATTGTGTTTCAAATATAAATATATGATACTGGAAAATTATAGTAAATTTATGTTTTATCAAAGTTATCACATTTTATAGGATTTTTATTGATATTTAAATCTTAAAGTGTATTATACTTATATACAATTTTAAAATTTATAATTTGAATATCAATACAGCCTAAATATGGCATAAATAATATCATTAATTAAAATAATCTCTAATATTAAAGTAAATTACATAAAATTGAATAGATTAAGTACATATTTTCTATGTCAAATATTTGTAAATAATTTAAAAAAATAAGGTAGAAAAAATACTTGTAGGATGTCATAGCGTTATCTCAATTAACAGGAACAGTAATAATAACTAATAAGATAATATAAAGTTTTGATCAAATTTTAAAATAATTCTATTATTTAAAATTCTGTAAATTTTAATCTAAACTATGCAACCAAAAGGTTGATTATTATTTAATATGTACATAATTCAACTAATATCAGAAGAAGAAAAAATTGTTTTGATTAAATTTATTATTTGATTATGTATTAGTAGTTACAAGTGTATCCATTTTTTTAGTCTGATTCTTTACTATAATAATGAACTATACAAATAATTTATGAATAACTTTTTAGAATATAAAACAATTTTCTTATAAATGAAAATGTATTACTATGTTATGCTAAGGTTAAAAAAGAAGTCTAAACTTTAAAAAAAATATATAGCAGAAAAATAAATTTCAACTGTCAATATAGGCTTAGTTCTCAATCTTTTAAAATATCAATGCACATTTCATTTAAAATCAAACAGAATTTTTACTCTTCATATACTAATATTTTTCAATTTTTAAAAGTATTGAAAAATACTCAATTTGACATTTATATTAAAATGCAAAGTTTAAATCTTAAATAACAACAATTGGAGGACATAGAAAAAGATTTTATTAAAAATACTACAACTCAATTATGAAATATTAAATATATCACACGTTGTGTTAGCAAAAAAAAATTACCTATTTTATAAAATAAAAAAGCAATATATATCTAAATATATATTTTATTCATTGACAAATTATATTTGTACATAGTATTACTTTGAATTAATTTTTAAACTAATAAATAATTTTAAATAAAAAACATATTATATTTTAAACCACTCCATTCATATAATGAAAAAAAAAAATGGTAGTCTCCAGTCTAAAAAATTGGAAAGGAAAATATGTATACATCAATTGTAAATGAAGACGCAACTCAGACTTGCCATAAGAAAATTGTGAATGTGACTCGGATAGGTTATGAGAAAATCTTAGATACAATTTAAATTTTCCAAGAAAAAATAAGTGAAAAATATTATTACTTTAACTTGCAAAACTTACAAACAATTAGGTACATTATGTTAATACAACTTAAAAACTAAGTACAACAATCAACATTTTACTAATTCTTCAGCTTAAAAATGCAATGGTTATACCCTTATTTTATGATTTAACAATAACATACACTAATTAATAATGAGAATAATGAGTGTTGATAATAAATTAATGATCCTATTTAATGTCTGAATTATTATCAATATCGATATTATATTTTTTACTGATATAATGGCAATATGTGTGTATTTAAATTAATATTAATAATTATGTATATCTAAATTTAATCTTATTGGTACATAATTATAAAACACCTAATACTTTTTCAGTAGATAGGTACTCACGCCTACCTAATTTTAGTTATAAGTCAATTGTTTTACAATAATCTTATGGGCCACCACTACATTTTAACAAAGTATCGAAGGTAGACAAGTTAATGAAAATATTTAACTGAAGTTAAGTTAAAAGAGCACAAGATTGATAAGTTAGGAGTTAACCGTTAACAAATTATAAATTTAACTCGATAAGTTAAATTTTAATATAGAAAAAATATTTACTTAACTCTGTTTAAAAAAAAGTTAATCTATTATTTTTTAAATTAGTATGTAAATTACATAAAAAATGACTATGTCTTTCTAATTTACTAAATTATAAAAAACAATTTTATCGAACTTTTATTATAATGTACATTGTACAGCGTAAAATGTAAATACTCTTTTACGTTACATGATATATTATTTATAATTTAAACTATACTCATCTCAAATTAATAATTTAACAAATATTTATTTTTTTTATATATAACATAGAAATTGAAGGTCATAAATCATTAAAACAATAAAATTTATAATTTATAATTTTATTAAAAAAATGTCTAATATCAACTGCAAAAAGCTAAGTTATTTCAACTGTCAATGAAACTCCTTAAGTTCATAAATTGATTAGAAAATAAATTAACTAGTGAAGTTATAAAGTTTAAAAAAATTTACTTTTTAACTAGTTAATGCCCACCTCTGCAAAGTACCACATACCTACTAATATAATGTATATTTTTTAATATTAAGACATAACATTCAAAATAACTCACTTATTAAACGACTATGTTCTTATTATTATATTTCTTACTTAGGTTAATATTGATGATCATACACAGCAGGCAATCACTTCTTCAACATCCGCTATTAGTGCATCTAACAATGAAAACAAAGACAACTCAAATAATAACCCATCAACTTCTTCAGCATCTTTCATTAGTGCACCCAATAATGATGACGAAAACTACTCAAATAAGAACTCATCAACTCCTTCAACATATGTCTTTAGTGCATCTGATGATGATGATGATGATGACAAAGACCCTTCAGCATACGTCATTAATGTATCTGATGATGATGACAATGACTATTTAAATAATAGTCCATCAACTTCTCCAGCATATGTCATTAGTGCATCTGATGATGATAATGACAAAGACCCATCAACTCCTTCAGCA